GGCGCGCCGTAGGCGCCCGCGCCATGCGGTGGCGGGCCGGCGGCCGCCGGGGGCGGGGCGCCGCCGGCTGGGGGGCCATCCGGGACGCTCTGGGGGTTGCCGACGGTTGTGGGGTAATGGCCACGCACGTCCATGCTGAGTATGATGAGCAGCCTGCGGGTGGTGGGTACACGTATAAAATCGTTGGGGGGATCCCGACCACCCATGATGGGTTCCGAGGTGCGGCAGCAGCAAGGGAGGCGGGGCAGGCGGCTTGAGAGCGCGGAGCGCAGGCGTCCTGATTCAGGAACGCCGCCCGGTCCCCGGATGGCATGGTGTGTGCGCCACCGCGTGCGGCACGCCATCGCATGCAACACGCGCAAAGGGCGCCCCAGCGGGCGGGTCATCCAGAAACGTGGCCCAGCATTCGAACCCGCGGGGAGTGCGCCAAATTGCGCAGTGCAGTCATGCGGCGCAGCACGCGACCCGTGGCGTGCGCGGACGTGGCCCTTCCACGCCCCGCTCACTTTTTAGCTCCCACAGAAGTCGTCTGCTGCAGCTGCTTGTTGCCCACGAGCTCACGGACCTCGATGATCGTGCCCTGCTGCACCTGCCCGTTGTCCGCCAGGTCCTTGAGCTGGGAGGCCAGCAGGGCCATGCACTTGTGCACCCCGTCGCTCACTACCAGCTTGATGCGGGCCTGACCGCTGCCCGTATCGTTCTTGGGCTGCACCCGCTGCACGTCCAGCACCTGCAGCAGCACCGGCATGCCGACTGCGAAATCCGAAGTCAGGGCCGCCTGCAGGCAACCCGCCGACAGGGGAGGGGGCCCGTCCATCGTGCTGGCCGGAGGAGAGGGCTGGCCGAGATGGGAAAGACGAGTGCAGTGTGCTGTGTGCTGGCCGCTGCTCTACGGGTTTGCGCTACGAGCTTGAGGGTGCGTATGTTGTAGTTGAGGGTGTTGATGAAACATACAAGACGGGCCGGCAACAAAGGCAGCGAGTTATGGGGCACCCGTGCTGCGTGTGCTTCGAGCTGATGAGTGAGTGCGGAGTACGACGTTTTGAACGCGTGGTGCGTGCCCATAACGTATCAGACATTGATGAATGGGAACTCTTGAAACAATCATCTCTCGATTCCGATACGAGCACAAGCCAAGCAACCAAACAGCACATGATGCCCGTCGTGGAGAGCGCGTCGCGGCTGCTGGTCGGCCCAGCACGGTCGCTGTGCGGCGCCGCTGCGCTGGCGGCGCCACCGATCTTCAGCAGGCTACTGCACACGTCCGTCTACAGCGGCCGCCAGGTACGGTGGTTTGCATGCCGTCTGGGCATCGTGCACGGCTGGCGATGCCGTTGACGTCACACACGGTGCCGCATCAGCGAGAACCCCATCCAAAGCAACGCAAACACCCTTGCACTTCCGGGACCGTGCAGGAGGGCGACGAGGCCGGTTCTGACCAGCAGCACGTCGATGAGATGCTCGGGACCAGCCCGCGCCAGAAGCAGGAGGGCGGCCGCGTCATGTCCCTGCGCGGCGACGGGCCCGAGGGTGCGCACGACTGTATGTTCGGGTAACATGCGGCCCCTCATGCCGGCGCGCCTGGAGAGTGTTCTCGCAATGCCAGGAAGAGACGCTTGCACCCCCCCTTAGTTTGCTTGCAATACAGCTCGCGGCTCAAGGGCAATTCGCGGCGCGCTGCAGCTTGATTCTTGCAACTTTACTGCATTCTTGGTGGGACCCCAGTCACGCGCGGGTTGGCCCAAGAGACGACAGGGCCCGCCTTCCAACGTGCCTGAGTCCTGTTTTCCCCAGCTTTCTCCCCAATGACTCACCCCCTGTTTCCAGGTGACAACTACACAGCCACGCCAGCCTACCCGCCACACTCGGGCGGCGGCGGCGCCCCAGATGCTGCCGCTGAGCGCGCCAGCGGCGAAAGCGACAGCGGCGGCGGCGGCGGCGGCGGCCCCCCGCGTGCCAGCGGCCGCGGTGGCGTCGACGGGCCCCCGCCTTCAGCCCGCCGGGACCGAATCTCAGACTCGGCAGATGGGACAATAGGCGGTGGCCCCCGCGACCCGTGGGCCGGCCACGGCGCGCGGGCCGCCCCCGGCACGCCAGCTGCAGACTTTTCCGAGGCCACGCGCTACTCGGACGCACGAGCGCACGCCTCCCCCGGCCGCCGCGCTGACGACTCCATGTCTGCGTCCGCCGGCGGCGGGGCGGGCGCTGATGAGGCGCCGCAGCGCCCTGCCAGCTTCCCGGGCGCGGCCGGGCCCATCCCTGTGTTCCCCGAAATGAACATGGACGCCCCGCGCGCCCCGGAGGAGACCACCAACGGGCGGCGCCTGGTGTCGCCGTCGGACGTTGAGGGGTCCGAGGGCAGCGGAGGGGCGGAGAGGGGGTCGGCTAAGGAGGTGCGCGATGACCCCGGCGCGCAGGGCGGGGGTTGAGCAGCGGCATTAGACCTGGTTGGTTGACAATTGGGTTGGCGGGAGCGAGCAATTTCACTTGGGTGCCTGGCTGCGATCTCACTTCTGCATGTCGCATCTTGGTTGATTGCATGATGGGAAGTGATTTGATGTGAGGCAGGCGCTGTTTGTTTGAGGCACGTCTTGGAATGCAGCCCTGCTGTGAGGATGAGGTGATCTTCATAGACCCTCAAGGGGGGGCTGAAACCAATGTCAGTCACTTCTGTGGTATTGTCAAACCGGCTTGCGCAGTGCATGCATGCTAGCATTGCGTCTGGCCTGGCGGACGATTGCGCTGTAAAACTGTTCATCTAGTCCATGGCAGATGGATGCCGATTAGCACGAACAGCCCGCAACGCAAAGCGCACCGTAACATCATGGCTGCCCGCAGGCGCTTCGCATTCCTCGCTTTTCGATTCATGTGTGCAGGCGTTGCTGACGTGTCAGGGCCTTTCAGCAGCTGCTCATTGCACAGAGGCTTTTGAGCTCGGCACAGGGGCGAAGTATTCAGCACATGCGCGGCTTGTGAAAGCCCTTGCCAATCCCCTGGCCGTGCAATCCCTTGCCAACACACTCCATGTCTGCAGCGGTTGCGTTGATACACGCCGCGCGCCTCAGCCCGCCGCGATCTGCTTCATCTTTATCGCCGTGTACATCACAAAAGCGGCCGTCGACAGCAGGTAGCCCCACGCCTGCAGCCCCGTGACAACCTCGCCGTACATCGCCATGGCTGCCACGATCAGCAGCGCGTTCTTGACCGTCCCCAGAACCTTGAGCGTCAGGCTGCTCGCCAGCTTGATGGTCGCAAATGCGAGCACGTTGATCACGAACCCCATGCACGCCGCCGCAAGGAAGAGGCCCCAGTGGTCGAACGCGATGCGCAGCGCGCGGCGCGCCGCGATTTCCCGCCACTCCATCGCGGCGCCGCCGATCGCCAGCCACACGAAGCACGCGGGGCCGAGGTACATCACGCCCTCGAACGGCCCCATCTTGAGGCCGACAAGGAGGTACTGCGTCATGACCAGCCGCGCTGACTCAGCGACCGCGGATATGAACATGATGGTCACGCCGACCGCGTTGAAGGCAACCTCGCCGTACGCGGCCAGGGCGGTGCCGGCGGCGATGGCGAGCACGCTGCCTGCCATTGCGCGGTTTGGGGTCTCCAGGCGCGCTAGGAAGAGGGCGAGCATTGTGATGACGGGGGTGAAGGCC